TCACATTCTTCTTCATATAGTCCAGCTTCTCGGATTATTTGCGCAGCACACAAACTGAATAAGTATGGTGAAATGATACAACCCTGGCTCACGTTTCTTGATTTTAAACCATGCAGTATCACCTTGCTCTGTTTGAACAACTGCCTCTTGGCCTATGTACAGGTTCCACATGAGAACAATCAAGTATTTTACAATTTCCATTCTTCGAAATGTTATCCAGAATTTGTTATGATCCGCACAGTTGAATGCCTTTGCGTAGTCAATAAAACATAGGTGAACATCTTTCTGGAACTCTCTGCTTTCAGACAAGGTCCATCTGACATCAGCAATGACACCCCTCATTTCACATCCTCTTCTGAATCCAGCTTGAAGTGCTGGCAGTTCCCTGTCGATGTACTGCTGCAACCACTTCTGAATGATGTTCAGCAAAACTTTACTTGTGTGTGATATGAATGATACTGTTCGATAACTTCCACATTCTGTTGGACCACCTTTCCTTGGAATGGGCACAAATATGGATCTCTTTTAGGTACCTGGGCGGCCAGGTAGCTCTCTTCCAAATTTTTTGGCATACAAGGGCGAGCACTTCTAGTGCTGCATCCCTTTGTTGAAACATCTCAACTGATATTCCGTCAATTCCTGGAGCCTTGTTTTTTGCCAATGCCTTCAGTGCAGCTTGGACTTCTTCCTTCAGTACCATTGGTTCTTGATCATATGCTACCTCCTAAAATGGGTGAATGTCTACCAATTCTTTTTAGTACAGTCTGTGTATTCCTTCCATCTGCATTTGATGCTTCCTGGATCATTCAATATTTTCCCCCATAGAATCCTTCAAAACTGCAACTTGAGGCTTGAATTTTTTCTTCAGTTCTTTGAGCTTGAGAAATGCCAAACATGTTTCTCTCTTTTGGTTTTCTAACTCCAGGTCTTTGCACATTTCATAATATTTTACTTTGTCTTCTCGAGCTGCCTTTCGAAATCTTCTCTTCAGCTCTTTTACTTCATCATTTCTTCCATTTGCTTTAGCTACTCTACATTCAAGAGCAAGTTTCAGAGTCTCTTCTGACATCCTTTTTGCTCTTTTCTTTCTTTCCTATCTTTTTAATCATCTTTTGCTTTTTTCATGTGTGATGTCCTTGACATCATCCCACAACTCGTCTGATCTTCGGTCATTAGTATTCAATGCATCAAATCTATTCTTGAGATGGTCTGTACATTCAGGTGGGATAAAATCAGGGTTATACTTTGTCTCTTACGGAGTTGTTTTAATTTTCTTCAGGTTCAGCTTGAACTTGCATATGATCAATTGATGGTCTGTTTCGCAAGCGACCCCTGGCCTTGTTCTGACAAATGATATTGAGCCTTTCCATCATTTCTTTCCACAGATGTAGTCGATTTGATTCCTGTGTTTTCCATCCAATGAGGTTCACGTATAAAGTTGCTGTTTTTGTTACTGAAAAAAGGCATTTGCAATCAAGAAGTTGTTGGTCTTGCAAAATTCTATCATGTGATCTCCAGCGTCATTTCTATCACCAAGGCCATATTTTCCAGCTACTGATCCTTCTTTGTTTCCAACTTTTGCATTCCAATCACTAGTAATTATCAATGCATCTTGATTGCATGTTTGATCAATTTCAGACTGCATAAGTTGGTAAAAATCTTCAGTTTCCTCATCTTTGGCCTTAGTGGTTGGTGCGTAAATCTGAATAATAGTCGTATTAATTGGTCTCCCGTGTAGGAGTCTGGATATTATGCTATCATTGACAGCATTGTACTTCAGGACAGATCTCAAAAAGTTCTATTTGACAATGAATGTGATGTCATTCCTCTTCAATTTGTCATTCCCGGCATAGTACACCGTATGATAGTCTGATTCAAAATGGCCAGTACCATCCATTTCACCTCACAAATGCCTAGGATAGCAATCTTTATGTGTCCCATTTTGTTTTTGATGATTTTCAATTTTCCTAGATTCATACTTCATATGGTCCACATTCCACTTATTAATGGATGTTTGCAGCTATTTCTTCTCATTTGGAGTTGTGCCACATCAGCAAATGAAGGTTCCGAAAGCTTGACTCCATCCATGTCATTAAAGTAACTCTACTTTGGGGAGGCAGCTCTTCCCCAGTCATACTCTGACTGCCTTCCAACCTAAGGGGCTCAACTTCCGGCACTATATCAGACAATGTTCTGCTGCTATTTATAAGGTTTTCACTAGCCAATTTTTTCAGAAGTAGACTGTCAGGTCCTTCTTCCTAGTCTGTCTTAGTCTGGAAGCTCCACTGAAACCTGTCCACCAAGGGTGACCCTGCTGGTATTTGAAATTCGGGTGGCAAAGCTTCCAGTATCACAGCAACATGCAAGCCACCACAGTACGACAAACTGACAGACGTGTCACTTTCTTTAGTGAGGTCAAATATACCTATTAGAAGATTATAGAATCATGCCTTTCTCCATCACAATATTTTTGACAGTCAATATGTTCTACTTGCCTGAAAGCATAGTTCATTTTTGTTTTTAGTCACCCATTGTCTCCCCTGTACTAGCACAATTCCTGGCACATAGCACATACCCCCTCAAAAATCTGCTAAATAAATTAATGTATGGTAATCAGCTAAGAAATCTTGAATGATTTAAGCTGGGCACTGTCTCTCTGGTATTATTGGAGAATAAGGTGGAGGGAGATTATTAGGGCTATTGCAAAAAACAAAATTCAGTAATATTCATTGGAATATTTAGATACAGGTGGCAAGGGAGTCGAAGATGATTTCTAGGTTGATCTGAAGAACGGATCTGTCAACTGGTCGAACCACAACAGGGTGAAATTTCAGTTAAAGAAAACGATGAGTTCAATTTTTTGTTGCACTGAATTTGAAGTAATAAATTTACCCAGTGGACGTGGCTTTAAGGCATTTTGAAATGTAGAAATGGATTTGATGTGAGACAGCATCTAGGCATTTTAATCTAGTGCCCTTCTGCTCCTGACAAGCAAACAACTCCTTGTCTATGTTCACTGTCTTAGTTAACAGCATCCACATAAACAGTCAGAAATCTTGGGGCCACCCTAGATTGTTTTCTCTCACCCCCCAGTGCCTTAACCATTTCTATCATCATCTATATTTTCTCTCTTCTCTCCATTGCCACAGCTACTTCCCTGGACATTAACCTAGATTATTTCAACAACTTCCTAACTACTCTCCCTGAACCCAGTCTCTGAAAAATTCTTTATCAAGTCTTTATGATTTGATCCCAAAGTTCCTGAACTTCACCTTCAGCTCCTTTACCTTGTTCCAACATACCAAAAACCACCAAACCAAACCCATTGCCTACACGTCGATTCCGACTCACGGCAAGCCCATGTGTTACAGAGTAGAACTGCTCCGTAGGGTTTTCTTGGCTGTGAGTCAGAATGAACTGATGGCAACCAGTTTTTTTGTTGCTGTTGTGTTTTAATCTTTACAGTAGCAGTTTGCCAGGACTTCCTTCAACAGAGCCGCTGGATGAGTTTGAACTGCCAACCTTTAGGTTAGCAGCCAACTGCAAACTGCTTGAGCCTCCCAAGCTCCTTCCAACCATACCAGACGCTTATTATTCTCAAACACCTCCTGCCCTAAGGGCTTCCCTTCTTCCTAGCTTCCTTCTTTCCACTAACCTTATTGAAATTTGACTAAAGGATAACAAAGTTATACTGACTGAGGAAAAGACATTATACTGCCTAGTGTGAGAGACAAATTAAAAAATAAAAAAGTCCAAGGAACTCTTGGACTCAAGCAAGCTCTTAAGTCTCAACTTAAATGTGGCCTCCTGAAAGCTCTTCCCTCTAGGAAAATTTAAACAGTCCCATTGGTTATCTTTCTGTTTACTGTATTTCTTGGCCCAATGTTAGCTGAGTCACTGTCTTTCCATACATGAAGTTAGGTTTACTATTTGGCATATCTATTCTTGAGACCATGGACTGCCAGAAGAAGGAACAAATCTTTCTTGGAAGAAGTACAGCCAGAATGCACCTTAGAAGCGAGGATGGCAAGACTTCGTCTCATGTACTTTGAACATGTTATCAGGAGGGACCAGTCCCTGGAGAAGGACATCATGCTTGGTAAAGTACAGGGTCCTCAAAAAGAGGAAGACCCTCAACGAGATGGATTGACACAGTGGCTGCAAAGATGGGCTCAAACATAGAAACAATAGTGAGGATGGCACAGGACTGGGCAGTGTTTCATTCTGCAGTACACAGGGTGGCTACAAGTCAGAATCCACTTAACGGCACCTAACAACAACAATAATTCTTGAGACAGTCTAGCTACAAAAACTTTGACTACACCACGTCATTTGTTGTCACACCTGTTTCCGTGCTGGATATGAATCCCCAGAACGCTCCCTTTGACCTCACGAAGATGGCTACTGGAGTGCATCCTTACGTTTACGTCATCACGTGCTGGGAGGAGGGTGGGGGCCCCCAAGGGAGATGGGTGAAGGGGCGGGGCCAAGCAAGACGGGGAGGGACTATCCTGGGCGGGGCGGGGCCAGTCAGGGGTCGGGGGCGCTTCTGCTATTCGGTCAGCGCGCGCGGCGGCGGGAGGCAGTGCGAGGAGAGGCTACTCGAAGCTCGGTCCCGAGAACTTGCCCAGGAATAAGGCCCAGATTTGGGGCAGCCGGCGCTCGAATTCGGCTGGCGGGAAGCACCCAGGAGGGGGGAAGCCCCGGGAGCAGCGCGACGGCGCCTCCCTCACCCAGGGGGCCACGGCGCGGGTCACGGGGCGCGGCACCACCGTGCGCGACCCAGGCGGGGATTCTGAACAGCCGGCTCAGGCTCCTCCTACTCCCGGCCGCCTCACCTGCGGGCAGCGCCGCGCCGCCTCCGCCCGTGTAGACGGCACCTGCGTCCCCTCGCTAGGAGGTCTCCGTTCCTCTCCCCGCAGCGCCAAACACGGGCGCCCCCGGCCGCCGGTTGTCTGGACGGGCCGGGGCTGCGGGATCCGAGGCGCGGGGTTGCGGCGTCCTCGCCACCGCGCGGGGAAGACGCAGGTGAATCGGGCGCGGTTTCACGGAACCCAGCGCCGGCCGCCTGCCCGCCCGTCCGCCCGCAATCGTCCCGGTCGCCGCCGGGCCCCAGGGACCGGGCCGCAGCACACCGGGCACCATGAACAGCAGCGGCGCCAACATCACCTACGCCAGTCGCAAGCGGCGGAAACCGGTGCAGAAAACGTGAGTGTCCGGAGCGGCGTCCTCGCTGCAGGACAGGGCGCCGGAACACGCGGGTGCGGGTCTTCAGTGGCCGCGGGAGGCGGCCCCACCCCACCCCTCATTCCCCGCGTTCCGGGAGATTAGGTCCATTCCCGACACAGCCCGTGGAATCAAGATTTGGGGGTCGGTCGAGAGACCGACGGTTGGAATTTTTTCTGCTTTCAACTATTGCATTTTAAAAATTGTTCCCCACCCCCGTCACCAGCGCCCACGCACCTTCTCATACCCCCACACCTTTGCAGCTCTATTCTTTTCTTTGGTTCCAATTTGTTGAGAGTTTTGGCCTGTCCCTTGGTGCTGGGGGATTAGGTAACAGTAGCGTGTCTTGAAATACCCTTAATACTGTTAATATCCACATCGTTTAGGTTAGAGGACTGTCATAATTCTCATTCTTGGAGGAGACTGAACGCTTGGTAGGTACAGTGAAATGTTTTTAAAGAGCCAAGCACGTGCGATCTTGAAAGGGGCTGAGTGCCTCTGAAGGTATTTTTTTGATCTGGAGCAACTGGTTTTCTGTTACGCTATTTACTTATTTGGCAGTTATGTGGTATCCGACGTGACTGTATCATAGTGTATAGGAATAATAGCAGGTATGAGTGATATTTGGGGGATTTGTATTCTCAATAATCTTTTGGGGAAACTTTCTCATTATTTTTGTGGTGGTTTGAGGATCTGTCAAAGATTTGGAACTGAATTTATTGAGGGAGACGTTTTTATTCTTAGCATCTTCCTCTAATTTCCTCTCTTCCCTACTTCAAAGTTTTGTTAATTCTAGTAGAGTGATTCCAAATTTGAATTATTTTTGTTTTGGCGGGATATTTGTATGACATGGCAAATACTTTAACTTTTTCCAGGAAAAAAAAAAAAATCTGTACTTGAGACAGATTTCATTTTGTGATTTGTCTGTCTTCATGTGTTTATTCCTAATTATTATGCCTGAGTTACTTTAAATCACCTACATCTTTCAAATTTTCATAAACAATTTTAAAAACATGTTGAATATCTACTCAGAGCAAGTCAGAGCAAATTTGCTGAGAACTTGACTTAAGTTACTAATGTGAACCCAAATAAATAAAAATATCACTTTTAGGATTTATATTTAAAAAGTTGTTGGTTGAAATGTTTCATTACTCTAGAGTTTTAATTTCCTTTTAGATTTTCAATGATCATAGTTCTTCAAATATAGACTTACAAATTGGCATTCACAGAGGATATTAGACCATCTTATAAATAAACTCTGATTAAAATTTTGAAATTCTTGACTTTAGTGTGTCTAACATTCAGAATATTGCTTAGTCAGCGGTTTTCTGTCTTGGCAGTTTTGAAACATTGGTTACAATATTTGGCATGTTGTAGAATGGTTTTTTATATAAAAATGTATTTGTCTAATTTGACTTTGTCAATGATAGTTAAAATTGGAAGGCACCCAACATGCCTGTTTTCCATAGCTACTAATACAGTAGCACACTTAGCATTATATATAATGAAAGTGTCATGGGTTTTGTGTGATCTGAAAAGTTGATAGTCTCACTGATGGGTTTTTAAGATATTAAGCTTCAGTCAGTGTGTTACAAATAGATCTAGGTGGCTTTTTTTTTTTCCTTTTAATTAAATGCCTTAGTTTGTGTTCATTATAAAATGTAACATTTTTGGTTTCTAGCTAATATTTTATTAATGATCTGTTCTTTTAGTATATTAAATTTCACTTGTATTTATGTAAAATGTACCTTTTATTATAATATCCTAATATTTAAGTGTACTTTTTAAGGCTTTAATATACATTATGTAATTAATTCCCGTATTACAATATAACTAAAGCCATTTTTCTCATTTACCCTCGTTTTATTTTATCAGGTAGTATAGATGTTTATCAGGTCTTTACTGAGCACCATGCATTGCTTCTGATTGTGTAAATGCCTTATAGCGCACCAAATTGCTCTGTAAGAAAAGATTAGTGCTGGCATTCACGTGGTGAAGTGAAATTGTTTATGAAACATTTTTACCTGAATACAAAATGGTTAACACAGTTCAAGTGAATATTGATCTTACAAATGAGGTTATTAAACCTAGTATTAAGTTTAATATGACTTTTTTAGTTAGACTACTAGTTAGTGGATAATGGGGCCTGAAACATGCCAACATTCTCACAGGAAAAATTCATCTTGTTTAAGCTAAAAATGTTATCCAGATCTATTTAACTTTGATCCCTTAAGCGATAGCTATTTTATTTTACTTACAGAGAAGATACATTGTAGCATAATTCTAAGACTGTTGAAAAGATAGTCATTTAAATATACGATTTCATACACTTCTGGAGTAAAGTAGGTGACATAATTTTAACCTGAAGCTCTTTCAGTCAATTGAATGTATTAAACAGAATAAACTCCCTCTAGTGGCAGGTCTGACATTGAAAATTATTAGGGGAAATAAATTTTAAATGTGTTAAATTTAATCCTACTAAGATATCTTACACATAATAGACAAGAAATGTTTCCTTTCTCTTGAGAATAACGAAAATTAGGGAATTAAAGGGTCTGAAGCAACCTAGATAAAGCATTTGATCCATGTTCCTGCTTTCTTCATGAAGAAATTTTCAAAGATAACCTTAGAGTGTTGTTCTAATACTCAATAACCCTGCTCAAAAAAAGAACAAATATTTTTATTTACATCCCCTTCTTGTTTTATTCCCTTTGGAGATTACAGTGTTATTTGTTTAGTTATTTTGGTTTATAAATATTGTTGAAAAGCCAATTTCATTAATTGGTCATTAACTTTGGCATTATTTCTGTATTTTTGAAGTTTTATTAATACAGAACAAAATTTTAGTGGAATTTCAAATAACCGTATCTAGAACATTAGTACTGAATGTTGGCAAGTAATAGCCTTTCAGTAAATGACATCTAAAAATTGCCATCTACACTTAAAAATATCAGCGGTAGTGGTTATCAAAACAGCCATCGTGAGGTGTCGGAACTGGAAATAAATATTAATTTTACTAACATACTGAGAATGTTTTGTCTTCCTTGCTGTTCTTGCTAAATTGCTATTCTATTTAGATATCATGAACCTCATTTATTGCCAACTTAGTAGAATAAATTAAAGTTTTACTAAAAATATTACATATATAGTATGATGCCATTTTCTAAATAGCATCTGAAGTAAAAGGTTACGTCTTTTCAGTTATATAATTATTTCCCCACAGCATTTTCCTTTCAGATAGCTTATTTAGATAGCTTATACATAGTGAATATGGATGTTTCTACACATTGGAACTATGAAAAGAAGTAAATGAAAAGTGTTAGTTAATTATAGTTAACATTTGTGAAAAATAAATGGCTAAAGAAACAGTGAGATATAAACTAAAAGATCACTGGATCTGAACTAAAAGATGAGGTCTTATCTCGCTCTGGTAGATCTTGGCAGGTTCCTTAATCACTAAAGGAGAACAGTCAACACCTACACTGTCAATGTCACAAGTAAAATGAGCCACACAAAAGCATTCTACCAACTGTAAAGACTACTAAAAGTATAAAATTAAATGGAAACATAAATTCTGTTCTTTAAATATTTTTAGCTTATTATAGACAACCAATTCTTCTGTGAAACTGTAAGAGGCAGTATGTGATTATGTTCTCAATTTTGGGTATTGCTAAAATGTGCTCCTTCAATGGTGAATAAACTTACATAGTACATGCTTATTGATGTAAAAGAATGGCTTAAATACTAGGCAAATCTTAACAATACGTTTTTGCTTCCACACATTTTTAAAATTGATTTTTTGCATAGTGATTTAATATAACAAAAACTGCTATTTATTAGTACTGTACTTTTAAGGCTGAGCCAAATTATCCTACAAAAATTTACCAGTTTATATTCCCATTGGTAGTCTGTGACTGTGTCCTTGAATTTTTGCTTAAAAAATATTAATTGTCCATTTCATAGGCAAAAGGGGAAGCAGGGTAGTTCGCTAATTATACTTAGTATGTTGGATTGTGTGTGTGTGTGTGTGTGTGTGTGTGTGTGTATATGTGTGTATGTGTGTATAGTAGTAGTAGTAGTGTGTTTATAGATTTTTCTAGTTGAGGTGTCTTTACATATTGATTTGCTTTGTCTTGCATTTTTCCATGTGTGCTTTTTCCTTTTTTGATTGACATGTTTTAAAGATGTATTTCTATTAAATAATACACATTTTAAAAAGTCAAAGTGTGCAAAAGAGCTCACTGTAACAGAAGCAACCTCTCTCAGTCAGTCCTTTCTCTGTTCACTATCATCTATGTCTTCTCATTTTTAAATAATACATCTATAGTCTACCTTGATATAAGCATGTTAAGAATTATTTATTGAAGTCTTATCGTGGTAGTTAAATATTTTATCTTTCTTTCATCTCCCTTTTACCTTTCTTCATCCTCCCAATATAATTTTATCACAATTTTCTATTAAATCTACATTCAGTGTTTCATTATTTTTGACTTTGCAAATATTGTTTACTGCTAAGCCAATTAATACATTATAATTCCTTTCTTTTCTAACCTAAGTCGCTGATTTCTTTCTCTCATACTTTACATTTTCATTTTTTTGGTTTCTTTGTTTTGGAGTTTAGCTGTCTGCTAGGTCTATCGAAGATAGAGTTTGTGTTTTTTTCTCTTCTTTTTTTTGTTTTAAGGTGATTTGCTAGAAGGGAAGCATGGTTGCAGAATGCTGTGTACATCTTAAAACTGACAGTATCTTACCTGTCTTTAAAACCTGATTTAGATGCCATTTCTCCAAGAGACCCACATTACCCCATTTGTACATGAGCTCTTGCTCTCCTGAACTCCTGAGCATTTTGACTAGATCACTTTATAGCACCTACATTATTGAGCAATGCTTGATTTTGTCTTGTTTCTTCCTGCTAGGAAAGATAAGCTCTTAAAAATAGGATTATCTTTGTAGCAACCAGAGCTTCCTAGTGCCTTATATAT